TAATGATGACTTCTTCCCAGGCTCCCTTAGATAATTTTTTTCATTTTTACATTTTAAAATAATAAAAAGAATGTGTATTTATTGTAAATAACCTGGAAAAATCAAGATAATACAAGGAGCAAGCTAAAAGTATCCATAAACCCCTTCTATCCAGAGGTACTCATTGGTCAAATGTTGGTAGAAATCTTTCCAGTCTTTTTTCTATAAATATAGATAATGTACTTTTAGTTTGATAAATAGATTTCAAACTGTAATATAATTTTGTTGCTTTGGTGGGGTGGAGAACGAGCATTTTCTATAACATTAAGTATTCCTTAAGAGCATTTTTTTTAAAGCTTTTTCCTTATTACCAAAGCTCTTGCTCAGTGTAGAGGACTTCAGGAAAAAAGCACTAAGCAAAGCAATCCATTATCATTTTACTTTCTAGAAAGAACCTCTGTTAACATTTTGGTGTATGCCCTTCTGGTATGTCCTTTTTGATTTTAATTGGAATTGCATTAAATTTATAAATTAATTTGAGTAGAACTGACATCTTTACAATATTGAGCCTTCTCTTCCAGGAGAAAGTTATGTCTCTCCATTTATTCAAGCCTTCTTTTATGTCCTCCAGTAAAGTTTTGTAGTTTCCTTGGTATAAGAATTGCACATTTATTGTAAAGTATTTTATGTTTTTGTTGTTGTCTTTATGAATATGGTCTCTCTTTTTCCTTATAATTCCTCACTTTTTAGGAATGCTGTACGTTTTTCTGTATTTGTATGCTGGCTCCTTGATGAGCTGTCTGGATTCTGCTAGGTTTCCATCTGATTTTCTTGAGTTGTTAAGAAAACAGTAATAAGCGTCTGCAAATAATATTGCATCTCCTTTCTGATTGCACTACCATGATTTGTTCATTTTGTCTTATTTATACAATGATTTTAAAGAATATTTTATTACAGAGGATATCTGCCACATCCACTTAGGGAGAACAGTATAATGGAGCCCTGTGTACCCACCACTTGGCCCCAGCAACCAGTAATCCATGACCTTTCCTGCCCTATCCGTACCCACTTCACACCCACCCCTCCCCTATGATTTTTTTTAAAGATTTTATTTATTTATTTATTTGAGAGAGCGAGAATGAGAGAGAGAGAGAGAGCACACACATGAGAGGGGGGAGAGTCAGAGGGAGAAGCAGACCCCCCGCCGAGCAGGGAGCCCGATGCGGGACTCAATCCCGGGACTCCAGGATCATGACCTGAGCCGAAGGCAGTCGCTTAACCAACTGAGCCACCCAGGCGCCCCCCCCCCCATGATTTTGAAGCAAATCCCAGATACCATGTCCTGCCATCCTATACCCTGACTATTAATGCCTGCAAGTTGTTTTGCCATATGGGTGGCTTTTAATATATCAAATAATCTCCTACTTTGGGACATTAAGTTGTTTCTATTTTTTCAATATTATGTCAAGAATATCCTTCTACATAAATGTGTTTATGTATCTCTAACTTAATTCTTAATTTATATCCTTAGAAATGCTAAATCCCTAGCATTAAATTAAAATCCCTAGAATTACTGGATCATATGGTATTTTGATCATTTATTTTCCTTTAAACACACACACACCATCACATGATGGCTTTTCTGATTAGAAATATAACACATGTTCACTTCAGAACTTTTAGAAAATACAGAAAAACACAAAGAAGGAAATTAAAATCACCCATAATCCTGCCACTCAGAGAGAAGCCCTCTTGACATTTTGGGATGCATTCTTCTCGTCTTGTTTTATGTGTGCGCCCAGCATGTGTATGCACCCCCGCACCGACTCACATGTTTACACACTACGTGTTACAGATTGTAAACCTGCTGGAGGACTGGGGTGGGGGGCAGACTGATTAGTTCACTTTTTAAAATACTCACTTGGAAAAAAAATTTTTTTCAAAATGGTGGAAACAACCCAAATACCCATTAATTTGGTGATGAATGGGTAAATAAAAGGTGGCACATCCGTAGAAAGTATTATTATTTAACAGTAAAATGGAATGAAGCACTGCTATACGCTACAATGTGGATACGGCTCAAAAACATGCTAAGCGAAGGGAGCCAAATGCAGAAGACCACCTACTGCATGATTCTGTTTATGTGAGATGTCCAGAAAAGATAAATCTCTAGAGACAGAAAGTAAATTAGTAGTTGCCTGGGGCTGGGGCTGCAAATAGTGATTGACTGTAAACAGGCTCATGGGATCTCACTGAGGTGATGGGAATGTTCAAAATTGTGATCATGCTCACACAATTCCATAAATTTACCCCCAAATCATTGTACACTTAAGATGTATTTTGTGGAGTTTCTTAATGTAAATAATACCTCTATGAAGTTGGTTTTTGAAAAGAGTAAAGAAAGTAAACATAAAGCTTCATTTGGAAAATAAAGAAAAGCACAAAGAACAAAATAAGAAATCTACCACGTAGGACTGTTCGCTTGTGCTGTCTTGAAACACCTCCTATTTTTCTGTCAATGTTAAAGATTCCTCCTTATCTTCCTTCTGTTCTCCCTCTTCTAACGTGGAATCGCACTGCAACTACAACTTTATAACCTTTGCTTTTCACTTAAAAATATGTCTTGGGTATTTCCCAAATCCCTAAATTTTTGCTATTGCATGGAAATATACAGGTTATTACAGTTTATTGACTCTTTCTCTGGTGTTGGACATCCCTAGATCCTCTTCCCCATAAGTGATTGGTATGTCCACCGTTGCTGTCAGAGTCAATTCCCAGAAACTGAAGTATTGAGTCAAGGAGAAGTATTGAGTCAAAGACCCAAGCATTTTTAAGGCTTTTGGTATTTTCTGATGGCCACCAGGAAGGCGAGGTATACCGGTGGCCACTTCCACCAACAGTTAAGCAAGTGTCTGTTTCCAAACGCCCTTAGCATGCGTTGGTGGTATAGTGGTGAACATAGCTGCCTTCCAAACACCCTCAGCAAAGCTGAGTGTTATAAGTTATTTTATGTTTGCCAATGGGATGGGCAAGACATAGTAAATCACTGTTGGTTGAAATGGAGTTTATTTGATTTTTAGGGAAGACACACATTTCTTCATATGTTATGTAACATATCTTCATATGTTATGTAACATATCTTCATATATTAATAGCTCCTTTGTATTTTTTCTTTAGCGAAATGCCCATGCTTGCCCTTTGCACATTTTTCTTTTGGAATATTTGTCTTTTTTGTAGACTTCTAAGTGTTTATTTTTATAAAATAAGAACATCAACTTTTATACTGCCAAATATGTTACAAATATTTTTCCAAGTTTGATGTTTGCCATTTAATTGTTCATGGTAGTTTTGATACATTATTTCTGTGGAGTTATCAGCATCTCTCCTATGGTTTCTGACTTTGTTATAATGCCTGGAGAGACCTCCTCTACCTCAATATTTTGTAATATTCACCTACATCTTCTTTTTTGGTATACTGTTTTCTTTCTTCCTTCCTTCCCTTACTCTCTTGCCATTTAATCTTTAATACATTTGGAACTTATTTTGATATATGGCTAAAGATTGGAATCTAACTTAAATTTTTTCCAAATGATTGAATAATTGTCTCAGCACAATTAATGAATAATTCATATTTTACCTACTGATTGGAAACAGCCGCCTTTGTCATGTCTTAAATACTTATCTCTACTTGAATCTCTTTCTGGGGGCTTTTTACCTCATCCCATTGATCTGTCTGTATTTTCATATGCCATTAGGACATGTTTTTAATTATTTTGACTTTTATGATATGTTTTAAATCCAGCAGTGCAGATCACCTGTCATCTCTTTAGGCTGCTATCTCCTGGTTAGTCTTCCTGATGCATTTTAGAGTCATCTCATCCAGTAAAAGAAAAACCCTTCTGTGATTCTGATTGAAATTGCATTAAACTGAAAAACTAATTCAGAATAAACTGACAGCTCTTATTCTTGAGCCTAACTGTCGTGGAACATGCCATGTCTCCTCATTGTAGTCTGCTGTTACATCTTTCCCTTGTAGTGTTTTTGTCATTTTTAATGCTGAAATTGCATACTTCTTATTTGTTTCCTTATTCTTTATGTAATATTTTTGTTGATCATAGAAAGGAGATCTTTTACCATTAAGTTTTCTTACTGGTTGTTGCTGATGTAAAGAAATGGTATTAATTTGTGCTAACTGGTCATTTAATTCAACCCTCCTGCTCCTGCTTCTTCTTAACTAGTTTTTGTGCCTGGAGATTAAGGGTTTGCAGGAAAACATTTATATCATTTGCAAGAATTATTTTTTCTTTCCAAGAGGTGTGTCTCTAAATTCTTTTTCTTTCTTATTTTGTTGGTTAATGGTGTGGTGTAAATCTTTACCCCTCCTTTATCTCTTTAATGAGAATGTCTCTACCCCTCCTTTATCTCTTTAATGAGAATGTCACTAGAGACATTCTCACCATTAGAGTGATATTGAAGGCAGATTTGAGCTAAAGATGCTTCAAGGCAGTAACTTTTCTGGTACTAGTTTATTAAGTTTATTAAGCGTTCTTAACAGCAGTAGATATTGGGTTTTATCAAATGCCTTTCTACATCTTGTGAGTTGATCATATGTTATTTTTTCCTTTGAATCATTGATGTAATGGAACGATACCCATAGATTTATGTTGAACCACCCTTTCTTTATATTGAATATAACTGTACCTGGTCATGGTATGTTATCCTTGTAATAGTCTAATAGATTCTACTTCCAGCACTCTATTGAGAATTTTCATAGCAATATTAATAAGTTGGTCATTTTATTTGGCTCTGTTTGTCAGTCTGTTGCTGGCTGAGTGAAATGAACTAGGAGGATCTTTGTATTTCTTATGCTCTAGCACAATTTCCATGCATGGAATTATCTAAGAGAGTATTGAACATTTTGGGGAGAAAAATCTTATCCATAAATCGTTCTGAGCCAGGAACCTTTGTTAGCATGCCCTCCCCCCTTCCCCAGCACACACGATTTTACCCATCTGTTGCAGGAGGAATCTTTGAGTATGCAGATGGCCCCAACGCCCAGGTCATGAATGCTGAGGAACATGCTTTTCGATTTTCTGCCAACATCATCAACAGGAACAGGACTCTGCTGCCCAACACAACCTTGACCTATGACATCCAGAGGATTCACTTTCATGACAGCTTCGAGGCCACCAAGAAGGGTGAGTATGCAGCCTTGACTGATAATCTTCCAGGGGTGGGGACAGAGGGAGCTGCGTTTGCTGTCCAGGGTCCTGAAAACGGACGCCAGCTCTTGGTGGGCTCGAGGCTTAGAGCCTATGCCGCCTGGTTTGGGGACCTGCTACATTTTCAGTTCAGGGTAGGCTGCGTCATCCCCCAGGTTGTCCATCAGGAATTTCTAGGCCGCTGGCAGGTACCGTGAGGGAATGAGAGGCCATGGGAGGAGGTGGACAATGAGGCCTGAGATGGGGTTGGGGAGGTAGCAATGTAGAGGTCAGCTCATATCCCCAACACCTTTGAACTGAAGCTGGCACTTTCAAACTTGTTTTTCTTTCATTGAAATCCTACCCAGAGTATCAATAATTAAAATACGCAACATTTAGTTGCCATAAAAAAACTTAAACAATGAAGCTGCTTCTATGGCTAACATAATTTGACCCCAGAGGCTATGGATGACACTTGAAGCTTGACATTAGCCTCAGCATTCAATACATTTCCATATTTTGTTTTAGCTTCACAATAGCGGGAGAATTATAAGTCATAAAAATCAGCTTTAGTAAATCCAGTCAGTTTTCTCCACACCTGGATTTTAAAAAATAAAACAAAACATACATTGGGTTGCGTCCTTCTTTATTAGTGACACATTTACAATAAGCTCCAATGACTGCACAGAAAGGACTGGAGAACTTTATTCCAAAATCCTCAGGGAGAAAAAAAAGCAACTTGTCAATACCTGAATGAGCTAGCAGTTTCCAGGGTGGCTTATAGCACATTTGAGTATACTCATATGCTCCTTTGTTGCTGTTTTTAAAAATATAATTTACACACACACACACACACACACACACACACACACACACACACTTAATTGAAATTAACTTAGAGCCTCAGCTAACTCTAGAAATAGCTTCCGTATATCCCTAGAGTTCCACAGAACTCCATTTAAAAATCTCAGGCCTAAGGAATCTCACTCCCAGGGAAGACAGGATCATCCTTCCTATAATTTGCCATCATAGCCCCTTGCTTTTCTTCTTCAAGGCGCTTATCACAATTTGTAGTTAAATAATGGTGTGTGCTTGTTGTGTTTCACCTTTTCTCCAATACTACTGGAAGGAAGACTCTTTCTTGTTAATTGATACAGCCCTAGCACCTAAAAGACTGGTGTATAGTAACTGCTCATTGAAATAATTATTGAATGAATCAATGAATGAATGATGTGAGAATGGGGCATGGGAGCCTGAGCATCATTGCTCAGGACCCTTGTCTGCTGAGCTTAGAGACAGTGTCATTTGTGCATCTCGGGTAGACTGAGGCTCATCCAAAAGATCCCCTTGGTCTTTCTAAGGGGTTCCCAGTAGCTAATCAAGGTCTCCTGGGCTCCCAGGTATAGGACCTGCCAAGGTTCTCCCTGGGGCTGGCTCTGTTTTCCAAAGCCCCATTGTGGGTAAACATCTTAGCGTAGAAAAGCAGTGTAGCATGAGCTTGGAGCCAGATTGCTTAGCCTTGCACCTTGTCCATTCTGGTATTAGTTGTGACCTTGAACAAAATACCTTGTGCTTCAGTTTTTTTTTCACCTACAAAATGGACACATTTCTGTGAAGTGCCTGGACCGGTGTTTGGCACATACAAGGTACCATATTGGACTTAGCTCTTATTACATTTGTTGGTTTGCTCTCTACCCACTGAGCCATCAGGTTAAGGGCCTCACCTACAGGCACTTTCTCCACTGCTGGCCCCTGTCTCATCTGCCCTGCTCCTTCATGCCTTGTAAGCTGAAGGGCACAGGGTTCCTGACCTTGAGCACAATACCCCTGACACTTTTGATACCCCTGCCCTGAGTCTCAGAGCCAGCCTGCAGACAGACTAGAGAAACCCCACCCTGTTAGCCTCGGAGAGTGGTCCTTTGCCCATCACCCTTCTCCTTGGACTGGCCTGCTGTCCTCCCTACCCGCGTCCTCCCAGCTCTCTCTCTGCATGCCTGTGGCCAACCCTGTACAGTTAGATATCCACCTCCCCACTGAGAGTCCCCTGCTGGCATCCTCTGCCTGGCCTCGTCCAGCTAGAAAGTGACTGAACTCAACCAAAAATGCTCAGTGAAAAGGTGAGGACACAGAACAAACGCCTGGAATCAGAACAGAGGTTTACGTGGGCATGATGACCCCAAAGGGCTAGGCTGGGTATTCTGTCCATTTTTTCTAAAAGTCACTAAAATAATATGACAACTCTTTAGTAGCACACTTGCGAGTCAGCGCGGGGACCTTCCCCAGCCAGCAGTGAGCCCCGGGCAGAACTCCAGAGTCTTCTGAGGCACTTCCTCTAGCGGGAACTTAGAGTTCCACGCGATGTGGAACTGCCAGGTAGTGGGTGAGTAGACCTGAAGCAGAAACACCCAGCTCTGGAAGTCCAGCCAGACTGGGCCGCGTGACCAAAGCCACGCCCCCTCATCCCCCACCACCTGACTTGTTTGCTTAAAACCCCAGCTGCTGTGTCCTGCTATTCTTTTCCCAAATCATCAGAGCCCATGGGGGCCTGTCCAGTCTAGCCCAGATGTGACCTTCTAGCCACACCTGTGCCATTTGCTCCCCTGGCTTCTGGGCTCTAGCCCCACCTGCCATCCTCCAGATGCCACGCTTCCTCCCACCTCCGGCCTTTTGCACCTGCTGTTCTCTTTGATGCCCCTTCCCTGTCCCACCTCTGCGTTGCCATTTGTCTAGGTCCTCAGGGGAGCCCTCCCCAAGTCCCCAGATGAAGGTCAAGTCTTCACCTCATAAATCTCTGGACTTCTCCTTCACAACCATGATCCATGGGTGTGTGTGTGTGTGTGTGTGTTTATGTGATTATTGTCCACATCTTCTGCTAGATTACACGTCTTTTTGCCTCTTCACTGCTGTCCTAAAGAACCATTGTTCTGACTACCGGTGTCCTACATACACTGCTCTGCCCATTTCTGAACTTCACATAAAGAGAATACCAGTGCGTACATTTTGGCTTTGTGTGGAATATACCCGTGAGATTCATCTATGTTGTTGGATATAACAGGAATCTATTCATTGTTGTGTAGTGGTCTGTTATATGAATACACTACAATTTTTAAAACTCAAACGTATTGTTGGACATTCAGGTCGTTTCCATTTGGGCCCAGAGAGTAGAGCTGTTATGAACATTCCTGTAGATATCTTTTGGTGCACAAACGTGCATGGTTTTTTGGTGAGTAGACACACATGAGTGGAAGTATGAGGTCACGGGATGTCATATGTTCAGCCAGATGCTTTCCAGAGTCCTGGCACCAGCCCTCTTGGGCGGTGCACAGCAGTGGGAATCCCTCCACAGCATCATGACCACTTGATAAAGTCTGTTTTGTTTCTGGTGGCTCGTGTGGTGGATATCTCATTGCGGTTTTACTTTGTATTTCCCTGGTGACTAGAGGTCTTGAACATCTTTTCATATGCTCATAGATCGTTCAGATCTTCTCTTTCCTTGAGTGGTTTTTGAGCCTTTCAACCACCTTTAAAATGGAGCTGCTTGTCATTTTCGTATTGACTTGTAGGAGTCTTTTATATATGGTGGGTAGGAGTCCTTAGCGGGACTTCCACATTGCTTATATCTGCTGCAAATGAGCTTGCCTTTTCCCTGTCTTAGCAACATCTTTTGAGAAACAAAGTTCTTAACTTAAGTCTGATTTGTCAATATTTTCCATATGGTTAATGGCTTTGTGTTCTATTTTTATCTATCCTCATGTCATGGAGATTTTCTCCTACGTTCTAGAAGCTCTGTTGTTTTTTTCTTTCGTGGTTAGCTCTGTGATCTGTCTTACAGTGATTTTCTCTGTATAGTGGGAGGTAGGGGTTGAGGTTTATTTTTTCCTGCAGCGTTGGTGAGAGTGAAAACCGGTTGAACTTCTCAGGGGAGTTTGGAAGTGTCCACTAAAGCTAAACGTATGCCTGCAAGAGAGTTCCTGTCCACCTTATTGATAACAGCCAAATGTTACGGGAAATAAAGGTCCATCGACAGGGGAATGGATAGATTGGGGTATAGTTATACAGTGGAATTTGAGTTAACAATAAAAAAAAAGAAAAAATTCTTCCTACACAAAACATGGATGAGCCTTGCAGGCTTAATGTTGAGTGAATGAACAGTGGTCACGTCTGGGAGAGGGAGGAGTTTGCAGCAGATATTAACTGGAAAGGGGAAGAGATAACCTTCTTAAGTGTTGGGAATGTTTTATATTTTGATCCAAGTAGTAGTTACATGGATGCAGTTATATGTAAAATTTCATAGAAGTCGGTGCTTAAAATTGATGCCTTTTACTATATTGTGTTACACCTCAATAAAAAAAGTTTAAGAGGCTCCTCTCTGCCATCACTTTCCCTTAATGTCCCTCCGATAGATACTATACCCAAGACAGACCCCTGCTGTGGTTAGAACCACCGCTGTCTGATCCCGGAGGCATTTCTGTGGTTGGATCGTGCTCCCCCTTAGGTACGCTCCATCCCTTCGGGGAATCCCTTGTTCCCATGGTCTTTATGTTTTCTTTTGATCTTTGGTTTTTGAAAATGTATTCCTCTGAAGCATTATTAGGACTCTTCCGGGGGATGACCTTGGGGTTCGTTCTAATTAACCCAGTGAGAATGATCAATTCTGCCATCACAGCCAGATCCAGCCACCTTGGGCCATGGGGGGGGGGGGGAGCGGGCGCTGCGCACGGAGCCTGGCATGACATGCCCCGCCAGCTCCGTGCAAATTAGGCCTTCCCTCCACAGGAGGCCCAAGAGGCCTTTCCCCATTAAAAAGGACTTTCACTTATTGTCTTTATTTTTAAATGTTTTGTGGAAAATTAAAAGATGAGTGACTGCCAAACAGTGCCTGAGCCAGCAACCCAGAGAGCGCCTGTGTTTTCTTCCAAGCCTGACCGGAGTGGGCCTGGAATCGACCCAGCACTCCCCAAGCTCCTCTGCCTTCACTTATTCTCTGGGCTGCTCAG